GTAAGGCTTGCTTTTATAAGTGTCACCTCTGAACAGGTCCACCTCTGCTGTACGGTGTCTGTAGGTTTTGATATACTCTGGCAAGTCATGCCAGAAGTCACAGACTATAAGATATAAAGGTTCAATTTCACCTTTTCTTTCTCCTTTCTTTTTATCCCAAGTTCTCTTCAAGCATTCAGAAGCTCTGGCTATTACTGCACCAGCATGGAACAAGGCTGTGGAAGAGGAACTGTGTAGGTCAGGACTATAATTCATGTATCTTCTTTTTCAACTCTTATACTTTGTCAACCCAGTGACCCAAAAATGCTCAGCCATTTGCTGGTTTTAGAGCTGGAGGGCTTCAAAAGATGGAGGGAGAATAGTGTTTGTCCTTGGGTATAGTCTGCTCTGCAGTTTGACATCCTGCAGCAGAAGAAAGCCAGGTGTGGAAACAAACTGAGTGCGATGATTTCTTGTGGGGTCAGTGGAGTAGACGTAACAGAGGTGCTGAAATCTGGGGCATACCTTTCGTTTGAGAGAATGTGTGCAAGAATTAAACACGTTCTGGGAAGTAAGAGGCCTGTGCATTACAAGTGAACAGCTTTGGATCATATGAGCCCAGGTTTTGTTTGAGCACGTGAATAAAACCTCTTTCAGGCTTAAATACTTCTGTTCATCATTTCTGTTGGTTTTTTTTTTTCAGTTGGCTTTGAATTTCCCTTGGCTTCATCAGGACTGACCTTGGACGGAAGTATTCTCAAAGCTATAATCTGGTTTTGACAAACCTTTGTTAGAGGCAGGCTTTTTGCTCTCCCCATGTCCACAGAACTGGTCCAGCTTTGGAAAGCTGTGTGATAGATGCTTATTATATTTACTTTATATTTACTTTATATTTTCCTTCACTCCCTTCGCAATGCCCTGCTCGCCAGAAGAGGAATCTGCAGCTTTCTCATCACTCAAAGGAGTATGGACAAAGCTACTTGGCTTCTGTGTCCTAATGCCTCTCCAAACCGGGCTCTGCATCACTGCTGCTGCACAGATATCAATCTGTAGTTGTAATAAGCATCTCTAGGTGCTTTATTTAACACCAGATGTTTTAGACTGAGAGTTTTCCCCCCACCTAGAAATATCTGGGTGATATAACAAGACTCTTGGTCTTCTTACAAACAGCAGGATGGAGGGAAGCTTAGTTCACAGCAGGATGTATCGCACAGGAGGGGGGAAGATTATCCATGACACCATGAAACTTCACAAGAAGCAGCTGTGAAGATTAAAATGGAAATGAGCCTGGGCCCTCGTGGCCACTACAGCCCATCTCTTCTGCCCAGGGGGCACTAAACTGTATTGCACCTTCCTACCCCCTCTGTCCTCTCCTGGGTCCTTTGAGACCCTCAGTGAAAGTCCAAGTTTGCTCCTGTGATGCTGGTTCAGAACTTGTAAAATGCTCTTGTAGGGGGCAAGTGAAAATCTACTCACCTTTGAGCAGGAGGACAAGGTAATTTTCTTTCAGTCCAATAATTCCCCTGTTCTTTATTGGTGGTGTTATAGACCGGATTCTCTAAGGTGCTGGGACTTTGTCTGTATTGCATCCTTCTTCCCATCCGGTTCCAACAATAAAACCCTCACGTTTTTTGATCTCTGGCTTTCATGCTTGCTAACACACTCTGGAATATTTAAGAAGGGTGCAAGGAATGGGTTAGTCACACTTGTTAATATTTATCCCATTGCAGAAGGAGCAGGGCTGACCTCAGAGCTTGGGCTTTGGAGAATAGTTATGAGAACGATTCCACTCAGCTGAAATGAAATCTGCATGCAAAGCTCGTTTGGTGCCTGGAAAGAGCTAGAAGGAAATAAAGGTCTTTAAATTATATATTTCCGCAGAGAACGTTTTGTCCTGTTTACAGAACCTCACCAGAATAGAGGGGGTTTTGTTTTATTCATATGTTTTCCATAAGGATAAATATCCATGCAGTTTAAACATTTTCATTAGATTCAGACAAGAAGGAGGATGTGGGGGCTATGTTTTTCTTTAATTGTCGATCTCTCCCCTTTATTTAACGGTTACTTTGTGAAGAGCTCTTCGGAAAGATAAAGTCAGGTAAATCAGAGAGACAGGGAAAGTGATTCTCTTTATTTATTCTTAGAGCAATTTTGAGTAATGTAGGCTACATTAAAAAAGTATACAAGCAAGATATTTTGGCTGGGAAGCATGTGTAATGTATGAACAGCAGGAAAAAAAAAACAGAAGAAGCTTTCCTTTCTAAATAGAAAATCTTTGAAAGTAACAGGGGGAAACTGATGGGAAGGGCTGAAGTCCATATATTCCCACCTCCTCCGCCTTGTGCTCTCTTAAAGGTGAGCTGCAAAATGCAAAAGAGAAATGTGTTAAATTCAGATGACTCGCTCGGGTGTCAGGAAGTGGCTCGAACAACCACACGAAGTTAACTAACACATCTCCAGTTTTTTTGTTCGTTTCCCCCTTCCCCTGCTTTTCCCGTGAAATCTAGGGGTGGTTTGCTGCTGTGGTTTCTGCCTCCAGGCAGGAGCGCAGCCACTTGTCCACCAGAACAACATCCTGAGACACCCCCCTCCTCCCCAGGGGCTTGCAGGCAGCCAAGACTTTCTGGAAGGATTTTCCAGAAAGTAAGAAAGGAGGAGAATTTCAGAAAATGTATTCCTGTAAACACCCTGAAATCAGGGAAACGAGACAAGCTGTGAGGAGCTGACGGGGGGGGGGATTTAGATTGCATCTTAGGAAGAAGCTCTTCCTTGTGAGGGTGCTGAGGCGCTGGCACAGGGTGCCCAGAGAAGCTGTGGCTGCCCCATCCCTGGCAGTGTTCAAGGCCAGGTTGGACACAGGGGCTTGGAGGAAGCTGCTCTAGTGGAAGGTGTCCCTGCCCGTGGCAGGGGTTGGAGCGGGATGAGCTTTAAGGTCCCTTCTAACCCAAACCAGTCTGGGATTCTACAGCGTTTACAGTGAGCTTCCATTCATCTTTTGTCTGATCAATTAATCTTATTATCATTCCTGTCTTCTACTCTAGGTCTTCTTCAGCAGCATGGGTCCTGGCATCCATTGTGTTACATACCATGGCCGCAGTAACTCAAAATGTGAGTAATGCTGTGTATGCCAACTGTGGTTTTCAGTCATAGGCATGGAGAGAGCAGCTGGATGTGGGGAAACGCTTTTTGAGCTGCAAGTGGCAGAATTCAGTTTGCAATTGGATGTCTGAGATGCGGATAAGTCTCCTTTAAAACACTTTTAAGTTGGATTAAGTCACCAAAAGAAAGTCTGAAAGGCAAGACACCCTGATCCATCAGAAACAGTGCTACTGCCCATTGCAATGTTTTCTGTCCCACAGACCAAGCACCCTACAGAGCCATGCACCCTACAGAGCCATGCACCACAGTGCCCACACTGGGGAAAAGGCACAGGTACGTGTTTGTTTCCCATTAACTTCTACTTTTCCTTCTGGAAATGTTCCACTTTGTGTTTCATTCCTGCTCCTTGGGAGCTAGGGAGAAGCTTTAAATTGAAATGGGAGTTACCTATCTGATTTACAGTAGTTACAGAATAGGGTTGGAAGGGACATTAAAGATCATGAAGTTCCAACCCCTTGCCATGGGCAGGGAAACCCTCCACTAGAGATCTGTGCAATTCCTCGCATCAATATAACACACACAGAGACATGCCATGCATTTGTGCCTAGGATATAAAAATCCTGTATTAATGCAATGCTATGTAAGGGTCTGCATAGAGCTAATTCACGTACTGCAGCATGCTTATCAAAGGACACTCTTTAATTGCAAAGCAGTATCTTTTAATTAGTGGTTAAGTTGTAAGACTCTGTTGCAAGTTCTCTGTTGCTTTATGTTGTTTAGCTAGAGTGTGAATGAATTCTGGAACAATTCCTGATTTTAGTTTTCTATCTCTTAACAAGACAAGTGACCTCCAAATCTGGGGTTCTTTTAAAGAATAAATCCAACTACACATCTGACACTCTCGTACGAAAACAAGGGCTGCTTTCTCTCTTAGGGCCACATTGGTTATGTTTTCCCCTCTAACAAATTGATCACAGTTGTTCAATCCCTATTATGGCCAGAGAAACAAACTGTGGATTTGGAAACATCTCTGTAGCATAGTCCCTGGAAGAGAAAGTAAGTAAATTGAAATAAAAAGACAAAGTGAGCATTAATCCATGTTTCTCCTTTGGGAGAAAGAATTAATGAATTAAGAGGGAGGTTCTGCTCCTGCTTAGTGTTGCATCTGATGAAGTTGCCCAGCTTATCACGGTTTAGTGGAGGAGGTGCAGCGTTTGATTAAACCATAACAAGAGAAATTCAAGAAGAAATCCCCTTGGAAGGAGGGGGTTCTTTGTGCAGAGGATCACTGCTTCTTCCCTTCTTTAGCTCTTGGTTGTTTTCTTCTTTCTGGTACAAGCTGTTGTCAGTGATGGAGGAGGAGAGTTTATACAGCAGTGTGGGGACTTCAGGCCAAGTATATGAAATATTTGTCTTAAGGCATTTATGGAGGTGTTTAGGATGGGTCTGTCTCCCATGTCCTCCTCTGGAAGAACACTGGTGAGCCCAGGGCTGATCAGTGGCAGCTCTTAGCTTCACCCTCAGAGCCACTGGCTGGTGACACCAAAACACCCTGGCCACAGGACACACCATGCCTGGCTCCAGGTAGGTTTGGCCAAGCAAAGCTGTGAGCCCCGGGCTGACATGCCCAGGGGCCTGTGCACAGATGTTTCCAGTACCTTCAGCACCGTGAACCTGCTACTCCACATTTCACATCTCATATAGTCAGAAAAAGAACAAGAACCTGGTTTTTAACCTGCTCCTTTCTTTTTCAAGGTGTAATAACAATTTCTTCTTCATGTCCTGCTTTGGCAGGAGTGGAAAGACAATGATCTTGTCTTACCCAAATCTGTTGGGTGATAATCAGAGGATGCAGGAGGCGAGAAGGATGTGTGAGGTGAAGTGCTGATGCCAAAATGTATTCCTGCACACAGTAGCAGAGCTCATATGGGGAAGGGCTGAGGCAGCTGTTTGAGTTACTTCATTATCCTTCATCCCTCTGCAAATATGCCTTCCCCATGACAATCCTGATTGTCTGACATGGCGATTCTCATGGCAAGATGTTGTGACCAAGACTGTTGCAAGTAGCCTCATTTTTCATCACCACTTACCCTTTTTGTTCTGTCCATGTTGTTTGTGAGTTGGGCAGGCCTGGTTACTCTGGTTTTATTTATTCCTCTGTTAATACAGTGCAGCCATGCCATGGTTTCCCTTTGGCAGGCGGCACTGCATGACAGGACTCGTGTTTACAACACATCAAGCTGCGACAAGCACCTCCAAGCTGCCCATTCCTGTAAGAGCCAGTCACATTCTCCTTGCAGCCTTCCCCTCCCAACACATTTAACCCCCCCCAGAATTACCAGTTATTGGAAGTTTTTAAACTTTGTAAGATTCAGGGGCTTCATTTAGGCAGCAAAGCTGTGTATTGAAATATGAATTAGTAGCGTGTGTATCGGCAGGATAGACCATCTGCTGTGCTCAGCACCCGGGTTTGAAGCTGGTTGGCTGGCAGGACAGCATGTGTTTACAGAAAACCCTAACAGTTGTAAAGGAGCCATTTAGGTTTATCGTGTCAATTCCTGTACAACTCCACGAGGAGAGATTCCTTTCACAAACTTGCATAAAATAGACAGATAGACTAGTTTTGACCTCTCTCAAAACATTTGACGGTTGAGCTTGTTGCAAGGATAAAATATCTGGAACAGCAGAAAAAAAAAATATCTTGTCATTTCCCCCTCCTAAGCATTAGACTCCTTGAATGCAGCATCCATTCATAGCTTAGTCCTTGCTTTATGATTTAACTGCCTTTTATTTTCCTTCTGAGATGCAAACGCAGGAGCTGTACCTGATTTTCATACCGTATTATGCGAGTCGTTGTGAAAAAGCTGTCCAGAGTAATGGCTCCATTTCATCATGATGCATATGCCAAGGTACAGAGATCATTTATTTTTCCTAAAAATTGAATGAGGATGGGATTAAAAATGTTATGTTTTGCCTATATGAGCAATATTCCTCTAATCAACCTTCCCAAATATATTGCCTCTTTGTAGCTTCTCTGTAATACAGGGAAGGCAAGGGTAGCACACCAAAGGGGTTTGTGCTCCTGCATAAGCATTCTTCTTACTTGGGCTATGACTTGCAAAGCACCAATATACCAAGAACAGGGCAGAGTAAAACCAGATTGGCCCTGCGGATACTTCTGGACTGAGTACTTGGTTACTTTTTCATGCATGGAGGAATTATTATATTATCCAGTACCTAAAGGGGTACTACAATAAATCTGGAGAGAGACTTTTTACAAAGGCATGCAGTGGTAAGACAAGGGGGATTGGCTTTAAGATGAAAGATTTACATGAGATATTAGGAAGAAATCATTTACTGTGAGGGTGCTGAGGCGCTGGCACAGGGTGCCCAGAGAAGTTGTGGCTGCCCCATCCCTGGTGGTGTTCAAGGCCAGGTTGGATGGGGCTTGGAGCAAGCTGCTCTAGTGGAAGATGTCCCTGCCCACGGCAGGGGGTTGGAACTGGGTGAGCTTTCGGGTACTCCCCAATCCAAACCATTCTATGATGCTGTGATTAAAAAACCAAGCTCTTCAGTGATGGTGCTGAAAACCTCACTACTTTTTAGCAGGCATCTATACTGTAAATATAGTTCATGTGTGTATGGATGCAGAGAAGAAAAGGGAATATTCTTGTGCATAAAGCTGAGGCTGAGACCAAACCCTCTGGTCCCATGTGTGACTCTGGCTGTTGGACTGAGAAGATAAATTAAGGAACAAGAAGACTTGATGAATCTCTGAGATAACTTATGCCAATGTGCAAAAGAAAAATAATGGTACCTGAATATATAGGTCCTAAGACTTCAATTTTTTTTTTTTAATGTTTCTTCCTTTTGATGGAAAAATCCATAATGAAAAATGAAAGCTGGAAAGATGGCAGGCTGGGGGAGAAAGCTTGCTTTAGCAAGCATACCCCAGCCAGCCACCTTTGTTATCAAGTCCCCATGTATGGATGCTTTAGGACTGGAAGCACACAGATCATAAGCTGCATAAAGACTGGATGCAATTGATATTCTAAATAGGAACATACTATGTTGGTAGTTCATGAAGGGCCCCATGGCTTATATCAGGTAGTCAAGCTTGAGTAAGGACAGAAGACTGGTGAGACGAAGAGAAAATGTTGTGCTCATTAAAATCCTCTATGATATCATGCCTTGGGTGCTTAGATATGAAATATAGATGAGGAATTGCTTTTTAATGTCATAGAGTTTTAAATAACTTTTGCTTACAATCTTGTGAATCTATTTGTACATGTATGTGTGTGTGTCTGCATGTGTGTATCTGTACATACGTAAGTTCAGTCCTTTGACTTGTCCTTGCTGCTGAGAGTCAGGGGTCTGGGGCTCAGTAGTAGAGGAGCAGAACAGGGTGAGTCAGGACTGTCAGACTCCATCTCCGGAAAGGCAGTAGATTAATACACAAACATGAGCATAGGCTCTCTCCTGGGGGTTGCATTTCATATTTAAGGACACTGGAGAGTGGAAGGTGTCTCCAGCCGAACCAGACAGGGTCACTTGCAGATAATTTAAGTGCTCAGTGCCCTATCTGGGGAGCAAGGCATCACCTGCCACGGTTCTTGGTGACCATGGGATGCAGTGGGCAGTCCTGGCCCCTTCTAAAAGCAGCTTATTCATGCAGCTGGGAGAGCAGAGCCATAAAAAGTCACCTGGAAAAGACGTTGGTGACCAGCTGTCCTGGGTTCAGCAGTAGCAGTCATTTTTTCTCCTTCTCAGTAGCTGGTGCAATGCTGTGGTTTTGACTTTCGGCCTGGGAACAGTGCTGATAACACCGATGATTTAAACATGCTAAGTCATGTTTACTCTGACCAAGGACTTCCTGAGCCTCATGCTCTGCCAGGGAGGAGGGGAAGCCGAGAGGAAGCAGAGACAGGACACCTGACCCAAACTGACCAAAGAAGTATTCCATACCACAGCACGTCATGCCCAGAATGTAATTGAGAGTTACCCAGAAGGGCTAGTTCACTGCGGGGTTGGATTAGGTATCGGTCGGTGCTCAGTTGGGCTGGGTATTATCGGTTGGTGGGTGGTATTGCATTCTCTTCCCTTGTTATTTCCCTTATCATTGTTATTATTGGTGGTAGCAGTAGTGGTTTGTGTTATACCTTAGTTACTGGACTGTTCTTATCTCAACCCATGGGAGTTACGTTCTTTCGATTCTCCTCCCCATCCCTCCAGGAGTGGAGGGGAAAAGAGGGGGGGGTGTGAGAGAGAGAGACTGCATAGCTGATTTACGGCTGACCGGGTTTAAACCACACCAGCATTTGGGTCCATCTCTCTGAATCTGGGTGCCCACCTTGGCCATTTGCATTAAGACACTTTCAGGGCAGAGCACAGCAATCTTGTTTTGGAAGAAATGACCTGGCTCTGGAAATCTTTAAGGAAAAATCCATTTGAGGGAGGTAAGTAGCTGATCCAGTTTGCACAAGATGTCATGGATGGGTCATCTGTAATGGAGCCTGAGGCTGAATCCTGGTTTACATCTGCAAATGTTACAGTGCAATATTTCATTTTCATGTTTAACACTTGTGCCTCCAGTTTCTTATTCTGATTTTGTCTTGGTTCAGTTTGTAAGCCAAGGTAACACATGGCTGCTTTACCCATGGACTAGAAACACACTGCCTTTGGGTGTTGTGTTTCTATGTGCCACAGGTCTTTATCATCATTATTGTTGCTACTTTTGGGTTTTATTCTTCTAACCTGCTTATTTCTGTTAGGTGCTGGAACACAGTTTAAAGAAAAGCATGACAACGCCTATGACAGCAGTCTTTCTCAGGCTTCTGAGCATCGCTCGTGAATGCCTGTGGATGGGATTGATGCACTTCCCTGCAAGGAGCTGAGTGCTACAGCCACACCACATCATCTCACTGCCTATTTTCAGGCTCTGTGCTGTGCCCTCCTGGGTCAAAGTGAAAATGGAAGAGGATGGCAAGCCAAGGCACACAGAAGATGTCTCACTGGATTTTGTACGTTTTCAAACATAACCCTTGCATTCTTGTCAATGTATCAATACAGTAAGGTTCTCCCCCTTGCAGCAAGCCTTGTATATTTATATATATATTATATAATGCCTCAGTCAATGCATTTACCAAGTTTTCATGTTTTTTTAATCTCTTTTTTCCACATTTTTTCTCCCAAACAGGCACTGAAAGACCAAAACTGCAGCACACCAAGTGCAATCCCTGTACACACAACGTACCAATGGCTTGACAAGTGATGTCTTTGGTAACTGTGGTCATTCCCATTTCCAGACTGGTCAGAATGGCTTTGGAGTACTGGGCAGCCCATGACCTGTCTGACTTTGACGAATGAAAAAGCAGCTCAGCTGAGGTATGTTCTTACACAGAGAGAGGGCAAAAGGGTGACAACAGCAATGAACCAGTGTTGGGATGGAAGGTATTGCTGCTCCTCTGCCTTGTATACTGATGATGCTCTGCTATACCCAGTCCAGCTCCAAGCTGCATGTCTCACTGTCTGTTCAGGAGGGAAGAAAGGAACTGGCTCAGGTCTGGGAAGGCTGAGTTGAGGCTGTTGTGATTGGGGTAAATGCAAACATAGAGCTCACAGTAAGGAAATGAGGTTGATGCCCCAATGGAAAACTTCACCCTCAAAGCACTTCATCTCGGGGATCATTTTATTCCCAAAAAGTGGGACATAAAGACAGAGTTAATTCTGACCAGAACCCATAGCAATAACCTGTTTATGGGAAAACTCTAGTCCTAGTCTAGAAGAGCTGTAATCTTACCCTGCCATCTAAAATTTGCTGCTTTATTAAGATTACGTTCTCGGTTGAAGAAAAGAAGTGAGTTAGTTTGGTATGTTTATTGCCCTTTGTCAGGATTGCAGTATTTTTTTTCTGCTTTGAAAATAGATGTTCCTGCTTATACAGCTGTATATTTACCCTCTCTTTTAGCTTTTTCATCACCGTTCCCTTTAATCATTTAATGAGGAGCATTCAGGTTCCTGATGATTTAGAATTATGACTCGCAGAGACACTGGCAATATCTTTGCTGGAGTAACGTTGATCCTCTAACTTTAAGACTTTAAATTCAAACCACATGTTTTTGCCACTAACTCCGAAAACAACCCCTGGAGTTGTGTGACTGTCACTGGAATATAAACCATAGCTACTCTGCAAACAAAAGCCCCAGTATTTAAATTGCGATTACGGTCACAAAAGTGACTATTTTAATCATTGCTCTGGTTTACTCGGGAGATCGGCTCCCTCTGCACATTCCAAATATCTCTGCAGATTTTTTATAGACTGAAAGGAGATTTTACTGCTTTCCACCCCTCTTAGCCCTACGGAGGCCAGCCAACGCGGGGCAAGTGAGCCAGATTTGTTCCAGACTCACACATCAGCGGGAGTGTGAGCTGAATCCCTGCAGCAGGACCTGTCGAGCGGATGATGTGCCTGCCAGGACAAGCAGCCGCACTTTCATGTCCCAGAGCTCATAGGGTGCAAGGCAGTTGAGGGGGATGATATAGAAGGTACCAAACCCACAGTGGTTTTCCTATAAACTGGTTTGTTTTGGAAAGAAAAAGAAGTCCCTGAGAGGCCTATTGGGGTGGAAGGGCTTTTCTGAGTGCAGCTGCCTGGATGCCACCCTGCTCCAGGGGTAGGAGCTCTGAGCAAAGGAAAAGAACATGTTTTAAAACAATAGCCTTAGATGCAGAACTAGGGAGTTGAAAATAGAGGATACAGAAGTCTCAAAGGCTTTTTCTTTTCCTGCTGGCTTTAAGGAGATAATTCAATTCCTTTAACATCTCCCTTACGTGGATGCTTTCTTACAGCCTTCTGGGTGCTGAGCTTCAGCCTCTTTGGTAAGAGCTTCAGCCTCTCCTATAAACCCAATCACTGCTTCCCACTGGCTCTCAAGCCCCTTGTTTTGTGCGCTTCCTACATCAAAAATCAAATCCCACTTAGAGGGTGTCTGCTTTAACTCACTATCTGCCTTTGTGAAATGTAATATATGTATTTTGTTTCTGTGAAAATCTCCTATTACAGTATTGGGAATGTTCCTCTGATATATGCATATTCAACGTAAATGTTGGTAGGAGAAGACCTAATTCATTTGAGATGGTTTTATTAGGCGTCTCTTAACAAATCCCAGAGTATGTAAATGAAATATAACTATACGTACATATTCATCAGTCTGTTCTTGGAATTAAATATGAGCACTGTGACATTTGGTTTTAAGGAATGACTAATTAACATGTGTGCAGGATGTTCTCATCTTCCTGCTTTGGAGTCCCAGAGTCAGGGAAAAGCAGACAAAACATATTTCCACTCTTCCTATCATAGTTTGCAAAGCAGAAAGCTGCTCATGACAGCCAAGAACTTCTCAGGCTTTTTTGTACCTGGTGGGTGCTGACACAGGGCCCATTCCTGAGTGCTGAGTGTTGTTAAATGTCATCTCATCTGTGCTGGGGCCAGCATCATGTTTTAAAGTATCAGCTTTGTACCTGACCTTGCTTTTAATAATTGCACCAACAAGTCACAGAGCACAGTAAAGAGCAGTAGAACTTCTGGAATGCAGCCACTGTTGCTCGTGATTTACCTCCAGGATGGGGTCCTGTAAAACTGGGCTGAGTCCTAAGATGCTCCCCATCATCCTGGAGATGCTCTCTAGGAAAACCTGGGCTGGATGCTGCGGGGATGTTTGGGGTTTGGCTTCAGAACACCAGGCTTAGCAACGCTGCTGGTGAGAGCCCAGAGAAAAAGCTACTTTTGTTTTTGGCACGGCTGGCTTGAGTTGCTTTTGTGTGAGAGCAATATGTGTGCAGCAGAAAAATACAACTAGCAAAAGAACACCCCAAAAACACCATCATGTCTTTCTGAGGGTGCTGGAGAAGGGCAGACACATCTCTGTGCCCTGTCTGAGCACCCCGGAGAAGCTGACCAGAACAAATCTCAGCAGGAACACACAAACCTCTATTATACCTTTTAAAAAGCTCCCCATTGAATGCAACTGGGCAGATGGGAAAGGCCCTTTTATTTCCTTTTCCTTTCTCCGCCTGAGTTCATTCTCTCCCTTTGGGGGAGCCAGGTTCAAAGACATGCCAAATGCATCAAAACCTTCCCAATAAAGTCCCTTTCACCTCCCGGAGGAGCGGGGCTGGGCTGGGAGCGTGCTGGGAGCTCTGGATCCGACGGTGACTTTCAGGACTGTGTGTGGCAAATCGTGTGCACAGCTCCCGAAACAATGCCCTGAATCGGACGTCTAATTCCCTGGAAATTAAATCCCTCAGCTGGTCAGGGAAAACAGGAGCCAAAGAGATTAAACAGTGCATCAGGGAGAATCTCTAGGGGCTGACGGAGGCAGTTCTTGTGTGTTTGTTTGGGGGATTTTTTAGCAGAGGGGTAACAAAGTAGTGGTTTAGCGTTGCTTCCGTCCCCATTTTAATTTGAGCCATGCTTTCCCCCTCTTCCCCTCCCAACAATCCCTTATCCTTGCTGTCACGGGGGCAAAACTGCTTGTTCCAGCTCTGTGCTAACCACCCAACAGGTGAGCTCAGTCCCGACAAGCACAGCTCCATCTCGGGCTGCAAAACTGGTTTCTGTGGTTGTGAGTGAGCGAAGGGGGATGCTGCAGATGCAAAACCATGGTCCCGGGCATCCCTCATCCTGCTTAGGTCCCCGCTAGTGCCTGCAGCTCCCAGCATCTCCCTGGAGATGCATCGGCTGCTGCAGCATTTGCTCAGTCCTGGGTTATTTATCCCAGTGCAAACTTAGCTGGAGCTGGACCCGTTGGGGTGTCAGGGAGGCCAGAAACAGAGCTGAGACATTCCCATTGATGTTTTGCTGCTGGTATATTAAATATGAGAAGGCCCAGCCATGGATGCTCCGGTGCGGAGCAGCGAGTGGCTGGATGCTGGATAAAAGCACAGTCTCTGCTCCTTAGGAATCAATCTTTCCCCACAGGGCTGCTTTTAAACTGGTACAAGTCAAAACTTAGCGGGCCTAGCAGTGGCAATTTTTTTTCCCTTTAAAAAAAAAAAAAAAAGCAGTTTCCTATGTATTTTTACTGACAAAAGCCTGAAGCTTCCTTTATATGCTTTATTTTCTTTCTCCTCGGAAACGATCGTTAGACAAAAGCAGTTTTGCTGCTGGTTAATCAAGAGAGTGATGTGGCCCTGCATTTTAATCCTAAACCAATTAGCAGGATTTGACATCATGCCATTAGACTGCTTGAAACAAAAATCAAGGATAGCGTAATGCAGCTAGAAAAGAACAATAACCATCAGCGCTGCCCTGTCAAAGGGGAAGGAAGAAATTTGGCTGCGTGTGTAATTTCCAAGCAATCCCCCTTCCCTCAAACCTGAGCATTCAAATGAGGGAGCTAAATAATAATGAGAGGGGGAAATGTGTAATCTCTAATCACACTACCCTAAACTGCACCAGTTTTAAAAGTAGAAATTGCTATTCTTGCTCCCGAGCAGACACAAATTGGTTGCATTTTTAAATCTGAGTTCTGCTTTATGATTTCTTTAGTGGGTGTTTCGTGCTTTGCTTCGCAGGCAGGTTGCACTGACGCCGGGAACAGCAGCATCTCTGATGCAGATGCAGAGCGAAGGACCCCGGAGTGAACACGCCAGCATCCCTAAGAAACAACTTCCCGGGCATGTAAATGTTTGCTTTGTCCAAACCACCCTAAGATAATTAATGAACAAAGCATCTTTTAGCAACTGTACTTTTTTGCTGGCAGAAACGCTCCTTATGTCTAAGCCCGCAGCGGCAGTGCGTCCCGAGCCGGTGGCAAGCGCTAGAGCCAGGCTGGCAAGCGTTAGCCCAGCCACGGCTGCTGCCTGCAGGCAGAAATAAGCTTGGCGAGGATGTGCGGTGAGAACTAAAATGCAGGCAGGCCCCGGGGTGCAGTATTTAAGGGATGAATGTCTAAAGCACATCGGGGACTCCCCGCCTCGCTGTGCTCTCAAGGCTGGCAGCGGAGAGCCAGAGCAGGAGTGAAACCCAGCATCTCGTAAAGCAGCATATGGATAGAGTGCAAATGGATGGGGTTTTATGTCCTGTGCAATATTTTCATTGATATTTATTTTGATTTAATTTGGCTAATGTGCAGGGAGAATGAAAACGGGCCGTGCTCCTCAACATCTGATGAGAAGCTGAATGCTTTTTAAAATTAGTATTCCCACTTAGGCAATGATCTTTAAGGTCTGCCCAGCAACTGTGCTGGAAAATCATGAGTCACTCCATGTAAATCATGGGATGACCCTCGAAGCAGCTGAATGTTTTTAAAATGTTGAATTATTTCTGTTAGTATTGCAGTTTCTAGTCTTTCTGCTTCAGCCTTTTGTCCATAACTTGATTTTCCTTTTAATGAAAGTGGAGTTTCTCACACTCTTAAACCACTTCAGAGAGGGAGTATTATAATAATAGTAATAATAATAATAATAATAAATTATCATGAGATTCATGATAAAATGGTAAAAGGTAGCAATGATGCTTATCTCTGCTTTGAGAGAAGAGAGGTTGAAGTGAAATCAGGGAGGACAGGAGCAATGTCACTACCCGTGACAGGTAGTACGAGGTTGGAGACTGGGCTGCAAATATCTACCGAAGACTTCCACGGTGAAGGTGGGCAAGTGACATAATAAATCTTCTTCTCTCATAGCTTCTATCTGCAATATGGGATAAAGAGTCTGTTTCCTCCATAGAGACTGGTACAAATAAATGCCTTATAACAGGTGAGGAGTGGCAGCAACGGCAGAGGAACAAAACTGTCTGGAAAGGAACAAGAAAAGATGTTAACAGCAAACAAACCTTCTGCCTTCCACTGAAGCAGCACTTCCACAGCTTTGTGGCTGTCAGTTTTGAGAGGAATAGATTTGAGAGAGGGGGTTAGGGTGGATAAGGTGAGCAGGGACTGAGGGGTACCCAGAGCATTCCACACCAAACCCCCTTTTCCCCACTGGGGCATCCACCCAGGGCTGCTTCCCACTGCAAAACTGGGATTTTAATGTCCCAGTTCCCTCGCTGCTAATAAAGGAACAAAAAGTACATTTGCCTCCTCAAGGGTGTTGTGAGACAAAGTTGGTAAGTGTTGAAAAGAGCCCCAAACCGGAGGAGAAAGCTGGCTTTGTTGCCTTCAGACACAGACCACCGCAGACCTTGCGCAAATTCTGCTGTAACATCTCTTGAACGAAAACGTGTTCTCCCCAAAAACCCATCAAACACATCCTGACTTGAAAAGGCTGCCAGGGTAGTGAAAGGAGCTGCAGATTATAGATCCGTGAGGCTCTTGAGGCAACAAAATGTTTGTCCTGTGGATTTGGGCTGGATCCAGTGAATCCCAAAAGTACTCGGAGAGACTGTTTAACCCATCCTGTAAGGGAAAAAGAAACCTAAACAAAGCAAAAAAGTGAACTAAGAAACAACAGCAAGAAAATCAGTGTATATTAAAAAAAAAAGAATAATATTGAGACAGTGGCCAGGAAAAAGAAAATTCAGAAGGCCAAAGGCTAAACCTCAGACTGAATCTTGAACTGAATTGGAAAATAAAGGAGTGAAAATTGAATTCAAATGGTCAGACCTTGTAAACAGGACTTGGGGTTTAAAAAATGAAAATGCCCTCCAAGGACAGGAGCAGCAGCACCAAAGTTCTGAATCTTCAGAGCTGGAGAGGGCACTGTAAGGTACCATGCAAAAAGATAATGTGTTGTATAAAAGATATCTGATCCTGTACTGCTTCTACCTTGTATCTCACCGAGATTTACAAAAGTAAATCCATATTTGCATTTTTAAACTTGTGTTGATAACACAATGCGCATTTTGTGATCACAGCCTCTGTAGGAAAATGATCTTTTTTAATGGGAAAATCTTTAGAAAATCTGTTCTCATCTGGGGAAAAACTGAGAACACCAACAAAATATTTTTCTAAACCAAGACTAGGACAAAATAATCACGAAAGGAAGCAGAGTAGAAAGTGTACCCACAGTCTGATATAACTGAAGAATTAATTACTTAAAACAATAAAAGAAAAGGCAGCTATAACAGAATGGTGGTTTTCTGCTATATTCCAGGCAAACAAATATATCAATCAACGTCTGAGATGATAATAGGATGAAGAGAAAACACTGCAACTGCTTGGTGGTTTCCAGGTACGTATTACATTTATAAAGACAGTTTTATCCCTAGTAAAATAAAAAGTACTTGCCTCTTTGAGATCCTTGGTTTTGCTTGTTTAATTCCTAGCCTCAGGAAACAAAACCTTTTCTTTTATTGTCATTATTTGTCCATTTTTAGTTTTCAGCCACAAAGTCAGTCTCTTTAGGCTTGCATTAATTTGATGTGCATCCATCTTAATTCAAGTCGATGTATTTCAATCTTGGCAGCATATCGATAACGAAAGGGAATGGAATGCCACCCGGTGAACTCCATCACACCAGCAAAACCAAGGACAAGGCAGAAAAACTGTGATGGTCTCCTGGAATCGGTTCCTGAACGGCAAATCGGTCTTTGTATGTATATGACTTTATTTTATTCTTTATTGCCAAGCAGTTATCATCATAATGGTATTTGTAATTTTGAGGGTGCACTATCATTCTAATGGATAATGAGCACTCAACAGTCACAAGAAACATTAATTGAAAAAGAGGTTCTCCTGTCCTAACAGTGAGAGTGTTCCCTAACATTATGAAAATTAGTTAAACCAAGAGAATATTTCCTTTATAGTTTTCAGCTTTTCATAAAGCCTTTGACGTCCTAAGCCAAAGCAACTGCCCATCAGGAACTGAGAGATGCACTTTGGTCCCCCATGCCAGCTTTTTACTTACGTCTGTCATTTCATTTCCCTAGTAATATGGGGAAAAAGTCTTAGCCAACGTCTTCATTTTCATTCATTAGTGAAATCATGGCAATAATACCACTTTGCACTTAGCTCTCTCCTAGGCACTTTGGAGGTGTTTGTCACTTTGGTGTATGTATATATAGCGAGTTCCTCCATCCAAAAATGACCAGTCAGTAAAGTTTTTGAATATCAAAAAAGGTCAAAGCAATACAGGACTCTATTATTATCACTTAAAACTCCACAAGGCATTAAGATTATGAGTGTAAGGAAAGATGTAAATTGTAGCTGTCTGCTTTGCTATCACTGGGGCTGTCTGTGAGTTCTCTTCTCCATCTCTGCCCTGGGATTAGAAGTCACTCTTCTCACTTGGTCTTGCCATTTTTTCCTCAAAGAAGAGGTCATTCTGTGCCACGGCAGAAGATGCTCTTCACATCCACTATTATGCTGTCCTTTGCAGCTTTAATCTGCATAGGTAAGCTGCATCCTTAAATAGCTTAAAAGGCAATAAATAAGCACACAAGCACACAAAAATATTACCACAGCTTCTATGTTCGGGGGGGGGGGGGGGGGGTGTGTCCTAAAGAGCTCTCTTTATTAATATGAGATGGCAAATATTTTTTCCTGTTTATTAAATCATATGAAAGGTTAATTATGGTTAGCGACTGTGGGTAGAAAACAATTCTTGGAAGATGCTTTTGTAACAACAGGTTGGCAGTATGCAGAAGCCATCTGCTTCCTGCAAATGTTAAGGTACAATCTCAAACTTGTGAGGTTAAAAATTACAGATTGCCGAGTAGTTTGGTAGAAGGAAAATCCATGTTGTGTTGATGTAAAGTTGCTCAGTCTCCTTGACACACAGCCTGGAAGGAATGCCAAGTTCCCTAAAGGACGGTATTTGGCTGGAGAGGACCCTCGCTCAGGGTATTCTGTACTCACACTGGCTGTCGACAAAGCTAATGAAGCCATTTTTGTGCTATGATGCTTTTTTTTTTAACACAGAAATGAGTTTCAAATACTGACCCACGAAAAGCAGTGAATTGCAGATATAATATTCTGCTTTCAAGCAGGGAATTCAACTCCTTCCATGAAGGAGAATAAAACATTGCTGTGGCTATCAAGGTGACACGATCCTGAAACTTGTTGCTTCAATCCACGATGTGTAGACTTAATCACAACTGCAAACTCTTCATAGTGAGCACTGTCTGTTTGAAAAGGAAGAACTATCTCCCCCACTTGATATAGTTAGCTGAACTAAAAGATATGAAGTGATTTGTCCAAGAGCACAAAAGGAGGTTGTGGCTACTGGAATTAAACCCACATTTTTCAGATCACAGCAAAGTGCCTTAACCACAAAACCATTCTTCCTCTCTGTGGGTCAGCTACAGTAGCTTCAGCATTTGGGCTGGGGTTTCAAACATGTTTATCGTCTCCCAAGGGTTAAGTTTAATTCCCTTGAATTTTCCAGTTCCATGGAAAACATCACCCAGTTTATCCTTCACTTCTATCAATAATGTTGCCCTCCTTCACCTCTCCCCACCAATGAAACACAGGTTGAACAACCTATAAGAGGAGGGATGGGGAACAGCCATCACCAGGTTTGTCCCCTTCATTTTTAGCCAAATAGGGAGAAACTCTTGTTTTTTCTCAGAGACTCTGCTCTGGAGAGATGTCATGCAACCTTCAGCCCCTTTCCTGCTCTCTTAATTTACTCACAACCCCTCCCCATGCTCATCCCCAGGAGCCAGCTGCCGAAAGACGGCTGTGTAAAAGGGCTCATTTCCAAACGTTGCCAGCAATGGAGACACAGAGTTGTTTACTGTGCAATAAAATGACCCAGGGCCTCATTTCTAGTGCCTCTACCCTGAGCAGTTTTGTCAAGGCTATGCATGTACAGGGGTCTCTTCTCCAGCATCACCTTATTATTTTAACAGATACTTTCCAGTGAGATGTCTTCTTTTTTAAAGCACCCCATAAAGTGGTTTTATCTTCTCCCTTTGTGCTGCAGCTGGTGATCCACTCCATTATTGACACCTCCTGCCAACAACAGTGGCCTGCCCATAAAAGCCCTGCAGACAGGGAAGACAGGGTCTGACCCCTTGGGCAATGCTGCAGAATACCTTGCCATTAAGTCCCATTTATTGTGTCTTTGCTTGTCGGTGCTGGCAGCATTACTGCCCTTACCAGGATCATTCGGAGCAGGACCTGCACTCATCTGCATCATCCCCTTCTGATGCCATTAGTGATGTGGTCTTATTGCATGCATGGAGCTCCTGGTGGGCTGCAGCTGATGGGATCTTCTATTTCTGGGCTGAAACCATTGATGGGAAAGAAGGAGCCAGCTCTATTCATCTGCCTGTCATTCTGTCAGCAGGCCTGGACCTTTCTCTTCTTCCTACTCTGATCTTTTCAAGGAAATCAAAAATCTTTGCTAGTAATACTAGTAACACTTTTATCAGGCTAGAGTTGGCTATGTGAGGGACAGAGGCACATAAAAATTAGGGATGAGACTTTTGAGTCCCACCAAAGGGATTTGGATGCCCAGCATCCATTAAGATGAGTAACAATTCCTATCCCACCCTAAATGGCCAGAGCCCAAATTGCTCCGTGAGATGGAAACCATCTTGGTTAATGCATGGACACTTAAGCCCTCAGCATCTGACTTCACTTATATTTCATTTCCAGCAAACTTAGTTGATCATGTGCAATGAAACACTTGTCCACCCCCCCCCCCCACACACACACCAGTTACCCGCTCCCCGACAGCTCATTGGGCCATCACTTGCCAGCTCTGCTATCAGGGGAAGGTGATGAAGGTAGCTAATTTGTTTGCAAGTTGGTGAATGATGTAAAAGGTTCCTCGTCCATCATAATAAAGGCTCTTGGAAAAAACGAGACAAATGGTCCTTCCTCCTTTTGCCTGCACTAGACGGGGACATTTGAAACTGAGGGAAAGTTCAGCGTAGCCATATGTACGGAGGGATGCACACAAATCACAGCTGCTGCTAATTGGATCCAGAAATCTAATTGGTCCCTCATGGTTGGCTGGTGTTACATATAGGGTCATTGCAGCAGTAATGTGGAGTCTGCGGGGGCTTGGTCTGCTCCATTTGGCAGCCTGGTGGCAGGGGACTGTTCTGACACCATGGCCCGGGCCATGTTGGGGCACTGGTCTCCAGAGCTGGGGGTGCAGAGCTGCCCTGAGCAGGGCTGCTTTAGCTTTCCCTGACCTGCCAACGGGGATAAGCCACTCTGAGCATGAACATGGGTTGCTTGCTAAGAAGAACAGGCATCCAGGGTCCTGTCAATCTGGAAGGTGAGATGAGGACATAAAATAATATAAAGTAAGATCAAATAATATCAAATAACATAAAATAATATCAAATAACATAAAATAATATAGCTTCAAGTGATTGCTCCAATTAATGCCTCATCTTGAAAGCATCCTTACACCAAATCATTGAGAAACACTTCTTAAATTGTCAGAAATGGGATGTTTCCCACATCCTGTTCCTGCCCAAAGTGCCTTGTTACCTGCTTGTCTCTAATAGGGTGTATTGGTCTTTTTTAACCCTTTTTAGGACCACTGTTGTATCATCCATCTCCACACATGAGCCAAACCAGCCAGTCTGGACTTGCATGCTCCCAGGATACATGGAAACAGAGAGCCTGGGTAAGTGGGGAGGAAAGCTCCCAAATTTGTTCTAAGGTCCATTTTTGTCCTCGAGAAGGCTCTAAGTCTTCTTATATTATGCAAATCTCCCCGGGGTCACCAACACTCAGCCAATCCTAATTTTAATAAAGTTGATTAATCTTTGTGCTGCGGACAAGGACAGTTATTCCCTGACTTTTGCTATGGCGTTTATTGAAGCTGTACCCATAAATGAATTACTGCAGGGATCATTAAATTTGGACTTAAATTGAACATAGTAAGCTCATTTAAAAAAATAAAATGCTTAGCAAGTTATATATAAACTAGAGGAAAAATTAATCTCCTCAAACTGCCTCCTATTTCCTTTTCAAGCAGGAACCTAAAGGGCAGATTTGCAAAGGGGAGTTTTAATTTGCAGGGCAAATTTTCACGAGGGCACTTTGAAGCTGCCTCTGTGCAAATCCTAATGGAACTGTGGGCTCAAAAGTTGGTGCTTTGTCCTCATTCAGCTCAAAGGGTCCCCACATTCAGGGTTGGCAGTAGAAATATTGCTCCCACAGAGGGAAGGTGAAAGCTGCTGCCCTGTCCCTGTGCAGTGATGAAGGGCTGAGTGCTGTATGAGCAGGTGAGGATTGAATTTGGAGGTAAACTGGAAGGGCTGGCTGGCAGTGTGTGGCACCACCTTTGGGGTAGCATTGGCTGGAGCCATGCCCCGCAGCGTGGAGGCTGGAGAAGAGCAGACCCAGAGAAGAGGCAGGGAATTTTTTAATGGGATTGTGCTAAGAAGTCGCATTAAAAAAGGAAACTCACCCTTGGTGATGGCTTTAGGGTTTGCATATTCGTTCATGGAGGAAGGAGCATGATAGAAGGAGCATGGAGATGTTGAACATGTGTCTTGCCTTCTGCCTCACAAGCATTTGAATACAGTTCAATATTTGTTGGTTTGACTGCCAATGTGTAAAACTCTTTATGTTACCCCTGGATGCTGAGAATAGTCATAGGAACAGCCATGGGACCTTGTTGCACCAGGGTGGGAAGGAAGTTTCCAAGCCGCTGCCCCATGCGCTGTTACTTAAGAACCCCATCCCTGACAGCAGAGCTAGGAAGACCATAAGCCACTCAGTTTGGGGTTGCAGAGGAGCAGTTACAACCCTGAGTCCCTCAGGGTGGGGTAGCACCATGTAAAACCCCAACCCTGAAGCTGGTCCACAGAGACATTCAATATCCATTTACTAAATAAAAGGGGACTGCACCTCTGCCTATGGGTACACATGGTGAGGCACTGGCACAGGGTGCCCAGAGAAGCTGTGGCTGCCCCATCACTGGCAGTGTTCAAGGCCAGGTTGGACACAGGGGCTCGGAGCAAGCTGCTCTACTGGAAGGTGTCCCTGCCTGTGGCAAAGGGTAGAACTGGATGAGCTTTAAGCTCCCTTCAACCCAAACCATTTTATGATTCTATAATTCTATGTTTCCAGTAAAGGGGACAGACTATAAGCAAAAATAAGGTGATAGAGGGATTAATAGAGGCAATATTCAGATCCGTCTTGACATCCAGCTCAGGCATTCAAGTCACATTTATTCACCACACCTTACACATCTCAGTCACACCATCCCAGGGGAAGGGGTGAGCTCAGAGGGTAAAGGGATTGCAACTGCATGTGCTACATCAGCCAGCTCTCCATTTTCCATGCCTCCCTGTATATTAATTAAAAATCTTAATTAATTTTTCACTTTGTGCCAAAATTTCTTTCAGCACGACTATCAGTGCTGGATATATCTCATGGGAAACAGGCATTTTGCTAGAGAAAGGGAAGATACTGTTTTTAAATTACTGTTACACAGCAAACTCTAATGGGCTGCAGTTTACTGCCCTTTCATGCAGACTTGCTTGGTCATGGCAGGATTAAGTTGCTGCTGTAACAGCAGATTTCATAGCATCTGTTAACACTAACACAAAATGCAAACTGTGCTGTGCTTCAGGTCTTTAATAACACACAGTAAATGCAGAGCCACTGTGTGCAATGCCCCCTGAAAAAAAAAAGAAGGAAAATAACGTAAAACTTCAGCATCTCTGTGGTGGGGGCTCAGGGGATGAGGGGTTCGGGCTTTCCTCTGTAACCCCGAAGTGCTTTTTCTCTCGGTGTAAATCTCTATTGCATCGCCATCTCGTGGCTTTCTGCAAAAGCTGCTGGCGCTGCAGAATCCCTGCCTCGCACTAGTGGTGCTTAATTGCACGGTGGCACCTATTAAAAGGTAATATCCTCTGGACACGAGCTACACGGGTAATTGCAATTAATACCGCATAGCCGGGCCATGGCAGTGAAGCTGGGGAGGGGAGATGGGGGCAGTTCAATTACGACCTGTTCGCTTGCAAGGCTCAGTGCTGCCTTCCACACTGCGGTCCACGTGTGGGTCCATGCCTACCTTGCTCACCCCCCTGTCTTACACGGACTTGGGAATGCTGGACATCATCACCTGATGGCTTTTGCTTTTGCAAATGCAAAGTTGGGTATGGGCTGAATCCTGATCCATGGGAAGGACCAGGAGCAAACTCTTCTCCAAGTGATGAAAGACAGCAAGGGTGTTATTTAGACTAGGATATGCAGCTTGCTGGTGTCTATGTATTGCTTTTTTTGTACATGTAATTCCTTTTTTTCCACGTCATTTTACTTCTTTGATTAGTTTGAGCTGCACTGAAACTGTGAAGGGCAAAAAGACCCCCCAGACTTATGGTATTTATTACATTCTTATTATGGCACTAGTTTGGAAATGATCACTTCAACTTACGCTACTGTTTCTGTTTACATAAAGGTGTAGCTTTTGTGAAGCCTACAATGATGTTTATTCCTATGGACATGCCTTGCACCTACAGTTTATAAAAGTCTGTCAAAAACTGCTCTCAAATTCATTTTAACATCTCCCAGCAGTGTTCAATCCCAGGGGAAAAAAAAACCTCCAGGCTTTAAACCAGCTCAGTGAGGCAGGGCTGTGCAAGGAGGCCCCTGTGGTTGCAAAGCGGGATGGTTGTGGCATTGCAAGTGCAGGGCTGTGATTGCAAGGGCAGATTGTGGTGAGGTTGCAAGCATGGGGCTGTGATTGTAAGGAGGGACGGTTGTGAGGTTGCAAGCACAGGACTGCGGTTGCAAGGAAGAACTGTTGCAGGATTGTGAGCATGGGGCTGTGATTACATGGTTGTGAGGTTGTGAGCATGGGGTTGAGACTGGAAGGAGGGATGGTTGCAAGGCTGTGAGCACAGTGGTCCCCATCTGCACTGAGTGCTCTCTGCATGCAGAGGGTGAAGTACTCCATCCCACTATAGATGATAACCTGCAGAAATGATCATCAGGCTGAAAATCTCAGCTCCAATCCAGCCCACTCTGTTGTTCTGGTCTAAATTCCCCCACCGTGCTCCCATCCTGCTGGAAACAGAGTAAGTCTTTGCAGGAGGCTTCATGTGTGCCCCTGGTTTTCCTTAGCAAGGCAAGGAGAGCGGGAACGTTGAAACTCAGCCGGCAGTTAGGAAATTGCCTCCCTCTAATACAAGCCA